CGGTTGTACGGAGCTGTATACAGACGGTTGTACGGAGCTGTATACAGACGGTTGTACGGAGCTGTATACAGACGGTTGTACGGAGCTGTATACAGACGGTTGTACGGAGCTGTATACAGGCGGTTGTACGGAGCTGTATACAGACGGTTGTACGGAGCTGTATACAGATGGTTGTACGGAGCGGTGTATATAGACGGTTGTACGGAGCGGTGTATATAGACGGTTGTGCGGAGCTGTGTATACAGACGGTTGTACGGAGCTGTGTATACAGACGGTTGTACGGAGCTGTGTATATAGGCGGTTGTACGGAGCTGTATATAGCTGTTTGTACGGAGCTGTATATAGCTGGTTGTACGGAGCTGTGTACACAGTGGGAGGTGATGTACGCGTCCTCATTAGCACTCAGTACACATTGTACAGAACTCGTAGATTTGGGTTCTGATGAGGGGGAGGGGGAGGGAGGGGGGCGATGATATTGGGCTGTGGACTCCAAGGACAAACCTAGAAGTATGATCAGGGCCCCGGGCCCCCAGTGACACATATTACAGTAATAGGGGAGGGGGGGGGCATCCTGTGATTGGGGGCCCCCAGTGACACATCTGACAGTGAAATTTCCCAGCACCTGGCCTAGAAGTGAGCAGAGGAGTGAGTCAGTCTCTGGGGAGAAGGCGAGTGCTCTGCATGCTGATGTCTCATCCATAGGGGACGCACTGCAGATCATCGCACTGATATCAGGGGCACTGTGGCAATATATCTGCAGATCATCGCACTGATATCAGGGGCACTGTGCCCAATATATCTGCAGATCATCGCACTGATATCAGGGGCACTGTGCCCAATATATCTGCAGATCATCGCACTGATAACAGAGGGCACTGTGCCCAATCATTCTGCAGATCATCACACTGATGTCAGGGGCACTGTGCCCAATATATCTGCAGATCATCGCACTGATAACAGAGGGCACTGAGCCAATATATCTGCAGATCATCGCACTGATAACAGAGGGCACTGTACCCAGTATATCTGCAGATCATCGCACTGATATCAGGGGCACTGTGCCCAATATATCTGCAGATCATCGCACTGATAACAGAGGGCACTGTGCCCAATCATTCTGCAGATCATCACACTGATATCAGGAGCACTGTGCCCAATATATCTGCAGATCATCACACTATCAGGGGGCACTGTACCCAGCAGAGCGTCACCATATTGCAGCAGCGATGGAGTTCTGTGCTGTAGAAGTCGTGCAGAGAATTCTCTGATAGCCAACATACCCGGCACTGCAGAATAAGCCCCGAACCCCCTGCAGAGCATCGCACTGATAACCAGGCCCAGCACAGGATCGCAATATCGCAATGTACCCAACTTTACTGAACATCAATACATGAAAGGGGCGGGGGGGGGGGGGGGGAGTGACTCAGTCGTACACAACTACACTGCAGAGCGTTGCACTGTACATAACATAGCCTTGACTGCAGAGCATTGCACTGTACATAACCTGCACTGCAGAGCATTGCACCGAACATAACCAGCACGGCAGAGCATTGCACTGTACCTAACAACCAGCACCGCAGAGCATTGCACTGTACCCAACATAACCAGCACTGCAGAGCATTCCACTGTACGTAACATAACCAGCACCGCAGAGCATTGCACTGTACGTAACATAACCAGCACTGCAGAGCATTGCACTGTACCCAGCATTACACAATATTGCACTGACAGCAGGATAAGAAGAGTTGCAGCACATTGCACTGTGCCCAACATAAGCTGGCACTGCAGAACATTGCACTGTGCCCAACATAAGCTGGCACTGCAGAACATTGCACTGTGCCCAACATAAGCTGGCACTGCAGAACATTGCACTGTGCCCAACATAAGCTGGCACTGCAGAGTATTACACCAACAGCAGTAGACATTGCGGTGTACACAACACAACTGGTACTGCAGAGCGTCTCGCTATACCCAGCATAACTGGCACTGCAGAGTATTGCACTGAACCCAACAAAAGTAGCACTGCATAGTATTACCCTAACAGCAGGTTAAGTTGCAGAGCATTGCACTAAACCCATCACAACTGGCACACTGCAGAGCATCGCACTGAACCCTGAATAACTGGCACACTGCAGAGCATCGCACTGAACCCAGCATAACTGGCACACTGCAGAGCATCGCACTGAACCTTGCCTAGTTGGCACTGCCGAGCATTACACTAACAGCAGGAGAAGTTGCAGAACATCGCAGTGCACCCAAGAAAACTGGCACTGCAGAACATGACACTGTGCCCAAGATAAGTGGCTCTGCAGAGCATCGCTCTCACCTCTTGTTGGTGCTGTTCCAGTAGATGGTCTGGATGTCGGCCAGTCCAGGGTAGGCACAGCTCAGCAGCAGCACGACCAGCACTTCCAGCTCCATGTCTATCCTGTGAGTGTTTGTAGTGGGAGGACTGCTGAATGCTTTTCTATGGCTCCCTCCCTCCCTCCTGCTGCTCCCATATTAATGAGGGGAGGTGGGGCCCTCCTCTGGCTCCAGCCTGCTTTGGCCTTTTGTCTCCTAACTTGTTTATGAAGTGTGTGTGTGATTGTTATGGATCTTGGGAGTCGCTCTGATGAGGGGCCACCGTCTGTGTGAGCGCTATTGCCACTGCTGGGCCGGAGTACATGGGGGGCTCGGTATACGAAAGCTGGCGATCCATGCCAGTCGTAGTTCATCCCTGTAGAGGTTAAACCCCAATCAATACCACAACCACTTGTTATCGTTGGCATGGTTTGGTGTGGCGCCGGTCCAAACGCCGCCTCAGGCTGAGATTGTCCGGCCAGATATCTGCCCACACACTTGCCGCATCTGATTGTGGGCGATATTGGGGCCGCAGACCCCCCAAAAGCCGTTCCAGAGCAAATCAAAGTTGTATCGGCGCTCTGGGGGTGGCACTGAGAGCCTCATATCGGCGGGGTGACACTTATGGGGTCACTTTCAATATGGGGTGAGACTTGTGGAGTGACTCCTAATATGGGGTGAGACTTATGGGGTCACTTTCAATGTGGAGGTAAGACTTATGGGGTGACTTCTTGGGGTGTCACCTCTGATATGAGTTCAGACTTATGGTGAGAAACTTAGCATGTGGCTCCTGATATCGGATGAGATTTAGGGTGTGATCCCTAATATAGGATGAGACTTAGGGTGTGATCCCCAATATAGGATGAGACTTAGGGCGTGATCCCCAATATAGGATGAGACTTGGGGTGTGACTCCTGATATGGGTAGAGACTTGGGGCGTGACTCCTGATATGGGTAGAGACTTGGGGCGTGACTCCTGATATGGGTAGAGACTTGGGGCGTGACTCCTGATATGGGTAGAGACTTGGGGCGTGACTCCTGATATGGGTAGAGACTTGGGGCGTGACTCCTGATATGGGTAGAGACTTGGGGCGTGACTCCTGATATGGGTAGAGACTTGGGGCGTGACTCCTGATATGGGTAGAGACTTGGGGCGTGACTCCTGATATGGGTAGAGACTTGGGGCGTGACTCCTGATATGGGTAGAGACTTGGGGCGTGACTCCTGATATGGGTAGAGACTTGGGGCGTGACTCCTGATATGGGTAGAGACTTGGGGCGTGACTCCTGATATGGGTAGAGACTTGGGGCGTGACTCCTGATATGGGTAGAGACTTGGGGCGTGACTCCTGATATGGGTAGAGACTTGGGGCGTGACTCCTGATATGGGTAGAGACTTGGGGCGTGACTCCTGATATGGGTAGAGACTTGGGGCGTGACTCCTGATATGGGTAGAGACTTGGGGCGTGACTCCTGATATGGGTAGAGACTTGGGGCGTGACTCCTGATATGGGTAGAGACTTGGGGCGTGACTCCTGATATGGGTAGAGACTTGGGGCGTGACTCCTGATATGGGTAGAGACTTGGGGCGTGACTCCTGATATGGGTAGAGACTTGGGGCGTGACTCCTGATATGGGTAGAGACTTGGGGCGTGACTCCTGATATGGGTAGAGACTTGGGGCGTGACTCCTGATATGGGTAGAGACTTGGGGCGTGACTCCTGATATGGGTAGAGACTTGGGGCGTGACTCCTGATATGGGTAGAGACTTGGGGCGTGACTCCTGATATGGGTAGAGACTTGGGGCGTGACTCCTGATATGGGTAGAGACTTGGGGCGTGACTCCTGATATGGGTAGAGACTTGGGGTGTGACTCCTGATATGGGTAGATACTTATGGGGTGACAGAGTTTCCCCATTCTATGGCGGCGCGCACACGATACAATCTCATTGTCCGATCTGCTTCAGGTGCGAGGACCTGTCTGAGCCATCCATCCGAGCTCCAGGGTGACTCTAATAGGTGGTGACCCCCTGACATTGGCGTGTCCCGCAGCCATCAGTGTGGGGTCCCCGGCGATGAGGCGATCACCTGGGAATATGATTGATGATGATGGCGTGTCGGCACTGTTATCGATCATGTGATCAGAGATGTCCACAGGGAGACGGAGAGGTTTATCCATTAATAGGGCCGGTCTGAGTCAGTCATTAGTCCCGAGGTAATTAGATCTCCTGTTTGCTCTCCTCCTCCAGGAATGTCGCCCATTGTCCCCTCTAATGTGGATTATCCTCCCCAATCAGAGCTGACACTCTAATTATAAGACGTTCCTGGAATCCCCCCTCCCAGTAGCCATCTTACTATCCTGATAAGGTGAAAGTGAGAGGCCCAGCCAATCAAAGTGCTTCCCAGAACCCCACCATGACCTCTGCCCTCCGATCCTGGGGGTGGCACTGATCAGATGAGAGGATCAATCACTGTAATGATATCAGTGTCCAGAGTGAAATCATCATATATTACAATGATATCAGTGTCAGGGATGTTATCATGTAATAATATAAGTGTCAGGGGTGTTATATTGTAATAATATCAGTGTCGGGGTGTTATATTGTAATAATATCAGTGTCGGGGGGTTATAATGTAATAATATCAGTGTCGGGGGGTTATAATGTAATAATATCAGTGTCGGGGGGTTATAATGTAATAATATCAGTGTCGGGGGGTTATAATGTAATAATATCAGTGTCGGGGGGTTATAATGTAATAATATCAGTGTCGGGGGGTTATAATGTAATAATATCAGTGTCGGGGGGTTATAATGTAATAATATCAGTGTCGGGGGGTTATAATGTAATAATATCAGTGTCGGGGGGTTATAATGTAATAATATCAGTGTCGGGGGGTTATAATGTAATAATATCAGTGTCGGGGGGTTATAATGTAATAATATCAGTGTCGGGGGGTTATAATGTAATAATATCAGTGTCGGGGGGTTATAATGTAATAATATCAGTGTCGGGGGGTTATAATGTAATAATATCAGTGTCGGGGGGTTATAATGTAATAATATCAGTGTCGGGGGGTTATAATGTAATAATATCAGTGTCGGGGGGTTATAATGTAATAATATCAGTGTCGGGGGGTTATAATGTAATAATATCAGTGTCGGGGGGTTATAATGTAATAATATCAGTGTCGGGGGGTTATAATGTAATAATATCAGTGTCGGGGGGTTATAATGTAATAATATCAGTGTCGGGGGGTTATAATGTAATAATATCAGTGTCGGGGGGTTATAATGTAATAATATCAGTGTCGGGGGGTTATAATGTAATAATATCAGTGTCGGGGGGTTATAATGTAATAATATCAGTGTCGGGGGGTTATAATGTAATAATATCAGTGTCGGGGGGTTATAATGTAATAATATCAGTGTCGGGGGGTTATAATGTAATAATATCAGTGTCGGGGGGTTATAATGTAATAATATCAGTGTCGGGGGGTTATAATGTAATAATATCAGTGTCGGGGGGTTATAATGTAATAATATCAGTGTCGGGGGGTTATAATGTAATAATATCAGTGTCGGGGGGTTATAATGTAATAATATCAGTGTCGGGGGGTTATAATGTAATAATATCAGTGTCGGGGGGTTATAATGTAATAATATCAGTGTCGGGGGGTTATAATGTAATAATATCAGTGTCGGGGGGTTATAATGTAATAATATCAGTGTCGGGGGGTTATAATGTAATAATATCAGTGTCGGGGGGTTATAATGTAATAATATCAGTGTCGGGGGGTTATAATGTAATAATATCAGTGTCGGGGGGTTATAATGTAATAATATCAGTGTCGGGGGGTTATAATGTAATAATATCAGTGTCGGGGGGTTATAATGTAATAATATCAGTGTCGGGGGGTTATAATGTAATAATATCAGTGTCGGGGGGTTATAATGTAATAATATCAGTGTCGGGGGGTTATAATGTAATAATATCAGTGTCGGGGGGTTATAATGTAATAATATCAGTGTCGGGGGGTTATAATGTAATAATATCAGTGTCGGGGGGTTATAATGTAATAATATCAGTGTCGGGGGGTTATAATGTAATAATATCAGTGTCGGGGGGTTATAATGTAATAATATCAGTGTCGGGGGGTTATAATGTAATAATATCAGTGTCGGGGGGTTATAATGTAATAATATCAGTGTCGGGGGGTTATAATGTAATAATATCAGTGTCGGGGGGTTATAATGTAATAATATCAGTGTCGGGGGGTTATAATGTAATAATATCAGTGTCGGGGGGTTATAATGTAATAATATCAGTGTCGGGGGGTTATAATGTAATAATATCAGTGTCGGGGGGTTATAATGTAATAATATCAGTGTCGGGGGGTTATAATGTAATAATATCAGTGTCGGGGGGTTATAATGTAATAATATCAGTGTCGGGGGGTTATAATGTAATAATATCAGTGTCGGGGTGTTATAATGTAATAATATCAGTGTTGGGGTTTTATAATGTAATAATATCAGTGTCAGGGGTGTTATAATGTAATAATATCAGTGTCAGGGGTGTTATAACGTAATAATATCAGTGTCCGGGTGTTATAATGTAATAATATCAGTGTCCGGGTGTTATAATGTAATAATATCAGTGTC